GTCAATGCATTGACAAACAGTAGTGGTGGTAGCGAGTCTCCTTGAAAGATTCCTCTCTTGATATTAACCTCTCTTAGTTTATCATCATTGACTAGCAACTGTGTCTTCCATTGTGTCATTGATCTTTGCACAAAGCTTCCGCTGTTTCCACTGACTCCTGTTATTTCTAGGCACTTGATTATCTTGCTTCTTTGATCTTCCTTGTTTCTAGGTGATATTTCTTAATCAGTTATTCTTTGGTCTTCTTGTTCTTCAGCTTCTTTTCTTTCATCTGTTCTAGCTTGCTTGCATCTGATCTTAGCATGTTGATTTTATTTTCCAACCTGGTCTTCCATTTTGGTAGTACGCCGTTTGGCTTTTTTTCTTGTTTATTGATTTTGCATCCAAGATATTCAATTATAACTGCAGCCATGCTGCACATCAGTTGGTTTGTTTCTTGCAGTGAGCTGATGCTTATATTTGATATTACAGTATTGGCATTTTTTAATACTTGTGCTAGCTGTTTCTTTGTAATGAGATTCAATGCAGGCAACCTTATTCTGTTCTTTTTGTACTGTTCTAGATGCTCGGTTATTCTTGGTTTCAATTCCTCTTTTCTTTTTTTTTTAGTTAGAGGGCTTCATTCTTTCTGAGGAGAAGGTAGAGGAGAGGGTGTCTGGTTTGGGAATGAAAACAATTCAATAACTCTGCTGGCTTCCTCTACTGCCGACTAACCCTGGTTTGACTCTACAGTCTGAGCTACTTCTGGCAAGGATTTTATTTCTTTGCCCTGGGTAGATCTTTGCAGTTCTTCCAATTCTAATTCTGTGAATATTTCATATTATAAATTGACGTTGATCTGCTAGCCTCTGTTCTGGATGTTGTTCTTTCCAGAACTGGTGCATTCTTTTCAGATCTCCTCTTCTCGTTGGACTTGATTTGTAATAGCAGATAATTATTTCTTTGTTTTCAGCCTTGATATATTGTGACGTGTAAACCACTTTTCTTCTAGTAGTCCTGCAGCTGCTGGCCCTGGTTGCTCATCCAACAGTCCTGGGTCCTATAGCCCACTTGTCACCAGTTGTCCATGAACTAGAAAACCTAGCATGGTCCTTATTGACCCAGGCAATGACCAATCTGGTATAGGTTTCTGTAAATTACATCTCACCATATTGTTTATGGGAGAGACACTCTTCGTCTGGCTCCTCTGATGAGACCTGTCCACTATGGTTGACCCTCTGGCATAGCTCTCATCCTCCTTGGAGCACACAAGCCCCACAGCCATGTCAAGGTAGTGCCTCACTGGGGGTTGTTGTTCTTGTTCTTGTTCTTAGATTGGCTGTGAGGCAATATCGAAATACAAAATAGAAGACAATAGTAAGACCATACATAACAAAATGAGGTAAAAGGTAAAACTTAAAGAAAGTATAATTCATATTTCTGTTTCACCCCTGTAATTTACCCCAATCACATCCATATCTAATCCACATTATAGTTTAGCATGATTTTAGTCACATTACTCTATGAACTTTAATAGAACTATCTTCATCAGTCCCTCCCATGCTGTCATAATCATTTCTGCAGAACTGTGACATGTTTGCGCAATATATTTTTATTTTGTGGCTTTCTTGAACTTAGCAACTATGGGTTTCATAAATTATGATTCATGGCTCCCCCCCCCCCCCCGAGTCAGTGTTGACTCCTGGCAATTCCCTGGACTAGTCCCTGCAGTTTTCTTGGCAAGATTTTGGAAGTGGTTTGCCGTGGTCTCCTCCCTAGGGCTGAGAGAGAGTGATTGGCCCAAGGTCACCCAGCTCACTTTGTGCCTAAAGCAGGACTAGAAATTACAGTCTCCCAGTTTCTAGCCTGGTGCCTTAGCCACCACACTAAACTGGCTTTCTTGAACTTGGCAAATATTGTGTTTTGTAAACTATGGTTCATACCTTAAGATGTGCCAACTAGGGCACTCTAGTTTGTTTAACAAACCATAGCTTTTTAAAATTATTGTTGGTCACACAGTCAGCCAGATGTTTAGACTGGATTTGGCATTTTTGTCCACCTATTGAGTCTTTCCCAAGGACTTGGGATAGGCAGATGATGTTGTTTGATGATCATGATTTTAAATTAAATAGTAAGGTCCATTGATACTTTTGCTACAGAAGTTATTACAGGTAGTCCCCGGGTTAAGAACACCCAGTTTAAGGATGACCCATAGTTAAGAACGGAGCCTATTGTAGCAAAATTTGAGTTAAATTCACAATGGTTCAAGTTAAATACACAATGGTTCTAGTTCATTACACAATACTACTTATACAGTATTATACAGTAATACTGCTCTGGCTTACATACAAATTTGACTTAAGGACAGACCTTGGGAACGGAACTCATTCTTAAACTGGGGACTACCTGTATAGGGGAATATCTATCTAAAAGGCATCTAAAATACAGAAACAGTTCTATAACAGGGCCTTTGAAAAAGATGCTTATGCCACAAGCTAGTTTTAATACTTATTCCTTCTTTCTCCACTGTCTTGTGCTTCTGAAATTGTCAGCAGCTACATCAAACACAATTGCTGGAATGCTACAGATGTGATTTACTGTAGTTAATTGAACTGTAAAAGTTTGCAAGGTACTCAATATACCCATCTCTCTGGAAAGTTATGTGCTAGCTTGGGAGAAGGCTAGAGTAAGTGTTCTGTCTTCTACTGCCTCCTTCTGGCACTGGAGAAATTGGCTATCCAACAGACAACAGTTAATTCTCACGCCCTGCGTCGCAGGTTCTCAGCAGTGGCAGGCCACACCTGGCTGACTTTGGGCTTTGGAGCAGGAAAGGTCAGGTTATTTGTATTTTTATTTGTTGGTATACTGCCAGAATCCAATAATTATTGGATGAAGACCTTCAGAGAATACCTGTGCTGTAGGACAGATTGAGAAATTGAATAAGCCAAATCCTCAAAGAACACTGGCAAACCATTTGCATATTGTTGCCAAGAAAACTACATTAATGTATTCCAGAGTTGAGTTTGACTTCAAGACTTTTATCTTTTTCATCTTCCGGACTCAGTGTGAATTGGGACTGGAATTAAATCGAACAGACTTAAAACTCAATCCAAGTGGGGAAGAAAATCCAATATATTTGACGACCTAACCTCTAGTTAAACAGGTATATTGACTTGATCACCATGGACATATAATCAGATTTTTTGTATGTAGATTTGCTGACTATGAGCAGGTTGTATTCCAGCACAAAATCAGTGTTTGCACAACATGCTGAAATGTAAACCATCCTTCCAAACTACAGTGGCTAGAGCCATAACCAAAACATTCATAATATGGATGCATAACTCATATTATTTATTATTTATTAAATCAATTTATATAACTGCCCATCTCACCACAGGCGACTCTGGGCGGTGTACAACAAAGCTAAAAACAGTAAAATACATTAAAAATATATAAAACAAAACAGAGAATAAAAGGAAGTTAAAAATAAGGGGGCTGCTTCACTAATTCCCCCGTCCCCTGGGGTCCCCAGGCCTGCTGGCATAACCGAGTCTTAAGGGGCCTCCGGAAGCTCAACAGTGACGAGGCCAGCCTCGCCTCCGGGGGGAAAGGATTCCACAGCACAGGCGCCACAGCAGAAAAGGGCCGCCGCCTGGGGCCTGCCAAATGGACTTCCCTAGGCAATGGAACCTGCAGCATGCCCTCTCTGCTGGTGGGATGGGCAGATGAAATCGGCAAGAGGCGGTCCCTCAGATAGCCCGGCCCCATGCCATGAAGGGCTTTAAAGGTCAACACCAGCACCTTGAATTAGACCTGGAAACAAACTGGTAACCAGTGCAGCTCACGAAGCAGAGTTGTAACGTGTGTTCTCCTAGAAACACACGTAACTGCTTGCGCCACTGCATTTTGTACCAGCTGAAGTTTCCAGATTATGTGCACATGCCACGGCATTATATGAAGCAACAATGTTTGTTTTGGTGTATAGTTATGTTATGCAACCACAACCTTTTTAGTTTGTTTCTCATGGATTAGTAGCGTATGATGTGCAGACGATCCTTGGGTAGCGATTCAAACGTTCTGAGTTTTCAGTTTATCCCTTTCTCCACATGTCTCCTGAAATGCTCTTTTTGCTGCTTTTGGACTTGCCCAAAGCAACAGATGTAGCTGAGAGGTGTTTTGTAAGAACGCATTAGCCCTCTTCAGGCATTATTATTGGGCTCAGCGTGTGAGCATGCCAGCTAAGTCTCACCACTCTACGCCCGCTGACTTCACTCAGATGACACTGGCTCCCCACTGGCATTGCACATTGAGTGTGACTGCTTGCAGGGAAAAAGCCTGAGTTCTCAGGGTCCTTGTTTCCCGGGAAGGCCTAACTGTGTGTGTCTAGATCTTCCTGCAGATCATTATGCTGAACTGTGATGTCTGCAGGGAGCCATATCAAGAAACGTCAGCAGGGGGTGGTTAAAATGTTGAACTAGGTGAGGGAGACCCAGGTGCTAGTCCATCATCACCTAAAAAAGCTTTCTGGGTAACACTGGGCTAGTCACTGTCTCAGGCCCACCTACCTCACAGGTTGTTTGCGCTGGGGAAAAATAAAGCGAGGACTATGTACACTGCCTTTAATTCCAGAATAAAACACTTTGCTAGTATATGGTGGTATTGCGATTGGCCACACCAGCACACCCAACGTGCCAATCATCATGTGAGACTGCACTGGGCAGTCTTAGCATTAATCTGAAGAGCCATCAGCTTGGTTTGCTTTCCAGCTTCTCATATTCCGGCATTCCAATTGAATGTTAGCATCAGATTAAGGACCCCAAGATGGCTTGTTGAGTTGTCAAACTCCTTTTCAAAGCTTTTGAAAGAGTTTTGATCTTTGGATGATGCACTCCTTGCTGGCTGGAAGATAAGCATCAGCTGGCTTGTCTATTAGGAAGGAAGAGCAAGTTATAACTGGTTGTTCTGTGAGAGTACTGCAGGCTCAAAGAAGTAGATGCACCAATTGTGCTTGTGTGCTAGAACTCACAAATCATCTGAGTTCCTGCTTCAGCTTCATTGTGAGATCAGGCTTGGTTCACAGAAAGGCCGGCTGCCTGGAGTGTCCACTGAGCTACTGTTAGCCCTTTGAGATAGTCCAGACACAAGCACAACCATGAGTACTAACTCTATCTTTATTGTAAGGTTGCATGAACAGAATCTCGCAAGACTGAAATTATTTCTCCCCTCCTTTCCTTTTATTCTCTGGAAAACTAGAGATGGTCCCTTCTGAAACCGTTCCCATGCCTGCTCTCCTTCTGTGGACTGATATATCTTTTACATGCTGGTTGTCCAGTCTGTGGCTCTTCCTCCTGTCTCTCAAGGTCATTCCCACGTACCACTACAGCTACAAATTAGCCAGCCATATTTTAGCCTAGCATGTTGTGTGACCGTAGCTATCAACTTTGTCATAAAATCACAAGCTGTTCCTAGGGAGCTTCTCTTTCATTGCCTCAATTTCTCTCCCCCAATATGAAAACTGCAATATTGATCTACTTTACCAGGATGCTGTAACGATAATACAAATCATAGCTGGGTTTATGTAACAAGCTAAAGCAAAATATTATTTGATTTTGGCTTGGGCTGAGAGCTCAGCCCATTCAGCCTTGTAACACAGGGTCTTATGCTTCGATGTGTTGTGAATCCAGCCAACTGTGGTTTATTTAATAAAACATGATTAAACAAACTGTGGCTTTTAAATAATGCATGAAGCTGGGCAAAGAACACTAAATAAAGATGCATATACCATGTTTACTATGTCAGAAAAAAAGGATTTTTTTCTCAGTAATTACCTATGAATGGGGGGGAGGGCATCCTACACTAATTGAGAAATATTTTCCTGAATAAGCAAGCAGCAACTGCTTCCCTGGTGAATTTAACCCCTTTTTAAAATATATATAGAGAGAGGACTTTTATCTCCATCCAGTTTTATTCCTTTTCTCTTCCCTTCCCAGTGCAGTTATCTCCTACTTGTAACCCCATCTCTGTCTTTTCTCCTTTTTCTGCTGGAAGGGAATGTTGTATCTTAGAGAACGGTTGTTATAGGTAGAATGATAAATTAATTTTATAAATGGAGAATGAGGTACTTATTTTACAGACAATTCATTTTAATATATACACACACATCCTGTCTCTGCCTTTTTTGAAGTGTAATTTCTGGCATATCTATTTCTATATATATTACACACACACACACACAAACATGTACTACTTGTCACATTTATTGGGAAGAAATCCCTACAATTAGTTTCTGCTGGAGTTGGCAACTATAGGTTGACACAGTGGGCAAAATGAACACCACGTAGGATTTTTGTCTCATGATCTATTTTCACCTTTGGGGCCCTGTCTTAAATTCAGAGCGACCTTCCCTCTGGATAGATATTGCAGTAAATAGAACTGTACATGCTTATTCAAAAAATATTTCAAAGACTCTGCATAAAAACAGCAGTGCTCTGTTACCCAGTGACTGTTACCCACTGACACTGCAGATGTTGCCTTTTAACTTTTGCCTCTCTATGTGTCTATGATATTTTCAATATATTCTTTTGAATATATTACAAAAGAAATAAATGCAGAAAAGTCTCAAACTCTGCAGTAAGTTCAGGGAACATACAAGGATATATTAGGATAGGAACAAGAGTTTAATAAATCATTACATCTTTATAACAAATATTCTAATAAAGTGTTACTATCAAAACAGGTTTTACCCGAAAGGGACTGCATATTATGCATACATTCATATAAAAACACCCATTTGAGATTCTGTGGTACACATTTATGCTTTGATTTTTTTTATCTCTCTCTCCCTCCCCCTCTCCTCCTCCTCCTCTCAGCTTCATGTTGATAATCCAAACCCTTTAGTTAGTAGTTCTTTTTCAAGAGAACTGATTTGTTTGTGAAATCAGTTTAGTACAAAACAATATGCTGATCCCCTCTGGCTGCAGAGATGTTCTACAGAGAATCTATTAAAAATTCTTTTATTTCCATTTTCCTCCAGAGTTCTCCCGTATAATAGAGGTCAGAAAACAGCATCAAAGATGTCATGATGAAATATTCTGAAAAATGTAGAAAACAGCTTGGCTGAATCTTACAACCAAAACCAATTTTCTTCCATGATTACAAACTATGATTTGTAAACACAAGTCTAGTCCTTCTTCCCTCAGTGATATGTTAATCTGCATTGATGCTAATCATACCTGTCTTAAACTGATAAATACTGTATACCAATTGTAAGAGAACTTGGTTAACATTAATCACAATTAGCTTTAGTACACATGCAATATTAATCATGGTTAAGAAAAATATGGAAAAAAATTCATCAGAGAACAGAGGATGGGACTGTGCTGACGAGATGTACAAATTGCAAGCTATGGTTTTGAGGGAGCCAGCATTATATCTGCACTGGGACAGTATTTTATTCAAAGTGCTCCTTTACTGTAGCAGTGCCTGTTCTCTGGAATGAGGTCCCCCCCAAGATTCAAATGGCCCCTGCGGTGCTTGTGTTTTGAAGAGCCCTGAAGACCCAGCTCTTCACCCAGGCCTTTGGCAAGCATGATTGAAGCCCCCTTTTCTTCTTCCTTTTTTTGTTACCATCTGTGTTTGTTATCTCTGCCATCTTTGTTCTTTTATGTTTTGTGTTTTCTTTTTTAACAATTTCTAAACCACCCAGTCACTGGGAGTCAGGCGGCATATAAATTTAATAAATAAATAAATAAATGGAGAAAAAAGAAAGGAGTTAAGAGATTTCAAGAGTATGTTAGTCTATAACTGTAGAAAAGATTGGTTTGGTTTGGTTTGGTTTGGTTTGGTTTGGTTTGGTTTGGTTTGGTTTGGTTTGG